GAGCTTAGGAGCTCAGCAAAACACAACTCTGCTGGAGTCAGGATTCGAACTCAGGCCCCCTTGTTAGCCAGGTCGTAGCTAAGTGGTTTTGACTTCTCAACCACACATCCCAGACTGTTCAGTTTCTCACCTAATCGACGATACCATCGTTGATTTTGACCTCAAATTAAATTAATGTTTAATATTTTAAACTTGACTATGAATTATATAAAAAGAGCATGCATTTCCCTTTAATTCTATACCACATACAACATTTTCTGATAACAAACAACAAAGCTATTGAAGCCCAATCATAACAGGGTAGTGAAATAGTCATGAGCCAAATGAAGAATTCCTTCGAAACGTGGAAAAATAATTACGGAGAGAAAGAGTTAACACAGGGAGTGACGCCATTTTGAAAATGCGTCAAATAAAAGGTTGACAAAGTAGAATCAAAATGGAATTTTCTACTTAATAAATCTCTCTCCTTCTGGTCACTATAAGTCTAGAGTTTTTGTACATCCCTTGAGCCAGACTACTCGGATTCTTCTTCTTCTTTCTCGATCTCATTTTTATGTTGGAGCGTTCAAATGACTAGACCAATGTATGAGATGAACTGCGCAGTGGTTTCCAAATCAGGAGCTCTCCATTTAGTTTTCTTTCTATCGGGTTGTTTTGGGGCCAGTGTCTTGTACGGGCCTCTTGGTAAAGAATGCAGTTTTTGAGGACATGGTAAGCATTCTCTGGTGATACTCCACATGAACAGATTTCACTGGTTCCAATTTTGAGCTTCCGGTTTATATGTTGTCTCATTCTGTTGTGTCCGGTCCTGAGTCGAAAGATTAGACATTGATCTTGTCGGAATAGCTTATAATAGGCATTTGTCATTTTCACACAAATATTTAATCTTGTCTTATAACATACAGACGTTACTTGGAAAGAAAGAAGATGATTACGTTCTACGCGTGTTCCTCTGTCAATCTAGTCATGCATGTTAATCAATTAATTAAATTCTGCCAAGTCACTGTTTTTTCCTGGCTGAGTCAGGTAACCCATTTCATGCTCTAATAGCACTAAGGAAGATGTAGCATTTGTACAAATTTGTTCTAGCATATGGAATTAAGAATTTATCTTTGTGTCTTTCTGAGTACCTCATTGGCTTTTGTTTGTGTATTTGAAGATTATGGCTGAGTGATTTATGTATAAATGCTACTTTACTTTCAAGTCTTCTATCCTGAAGGTTTTTAAAGTTAGTGATGATTTATTTGTAAAAATCACGTTTAAGTAATAAAATTCAGTACGAGAAAAAAAAAAGGGGGAAATTTTAAACTAATCCGACGAAATAAAAAAAAATGTCAGAGACACCATATTGAAAGATCATGGTTGCCAAGGAAACGGTAAAAATTACTTTGTGATACAAAGGGAAAAATCTCTTATATTTGATCCTTCTGTACTGGAAAGTTCACCAACAAATATTGTAATAAGGTTTCAAAATAAGTTACTTATCAATAATTCTGTATTCTGTACACTGAATGGCTTCCTGTTCGTGCGGTTTGCCCTCTGGACTCTTCTTCTTACTTATCAATGGTCAAGGATTCAAGTCCACCCGCTCCCATCTCCCATCGTCCAGCTGGAGGTTTGGACTAGGAAGTAACTTATCTACAACTCTGAAGGAACATTCGAAACATGTAAAACATGTTACACCGGATACGCCAAAGCTTTCTAATTGTGGATTTTCCTCAATATATAGTATTGAGTGTGTTGAAATTTCATTTCGTCATTTTCTGTGCTATAATTTTTTTTTCATTGTCATTTTTTGGTTAATCTCAATATGCATTTCTTTTTTATCTGCTAGGGCATTCTATTCGTCCTTGACAGCACAAACGAGGCTAGATTACTGGAAGTGAAAAACACGCTCGAGAGTATTCTCCGCAGCCCGTATCTTAAGGATGTGCCTGTTGTGATTCTGGCGAACAAACAGGACTTTGCCGATGCCCTGGACATCAGTGTGCTGGTGGACCGACTGGAGCTGGCCAGCATCAAGGACAGGCGCTGGTTGATCCAGGGAACGTCTGCCTTCACAGGTGCTGGGGTCTGGGAGGCTCTGAAGCAGATAAAGAGATTGATGAACGAAAGTAGTCGACCTTGGAGAAGGGGCTAACAAATGTCTCATTTTTTAAACTGCTATAAAAGTTTTCAGACGTGACGTCTTCGACCTATTGACCACCCGGCCTTTTGGGCAAGCTCCGACTTCAAAATGTTGATACATTGTTTCGTAACTGGATTTGAGGCAGTGTAGACTGGACTGCTGCCCAAGTCCTCATCCTTAAGGGAGAAGGGGCTAATAAATGTCTGTTTTAAACTGCCATAAATGTTTTCAGACATTCGATTACCTTAAAAATCATGCCACGGGTCTCCACTTACGTAAATCCGGCACTGGGTGATTAACTCATAGTATACATGTGAAATAATTTATGGTGTCAGCGGACGTTCATTGTATAGCCTGCGATAGAGTGTGATTTTTTTACATAACATACTACATAGATTCTTCAAATTTCTTATATGAGGTTCTGATAATATGAATTCATAACTTCTAATGAAAGATATTTATAAATATTATTTTCTTCAATTTCTGAGGGCTAGAATGAAATACTACTAGCATTCGCCACGCATGAACTTAACATACTTAACAGAACGTTCTTGTGATGCATCTTTATATAATTAATTATTCAAATATGTGGTGTTCAGAAGCGGAAAATAACAATTCAAAATACATCAAATTGAAACACCTGATCAAGAGTTTGTAAGTAGCATAAATATTGCAGCTTTAATACTGCCGATTATACTGTAGCCTAAATACTGCTGCATAAATACTGCAGCCTAAATACTGAAGCTTTAATACTGCCGCCTATACTGTAGCCTAAATACTGCTACTAAATACTACAACCTAAATACTGCAGCTTTAATACTGCAGCCTAAATACTGCAGCTTTAATACTGCCACCTATACTGTAGCCTAAATACTGCTACATAAATACTGCAGCCTAGATACTACAGCCTTAATACTGCAGCCTAAATTCTACAGCCAAAATAGTGCTGCTTAATACTGCAGCCTAAACATTGCTGCCTAAATAATGCAACCTAAATACTGTAGCCTAAACGAAGACAGTGTGCATAGCGCCCAGCTCAACAAAGAACATCGAAGCAACGAGCTATATTCATTTGTATTATTTGTAAAGATTTGTTCAGTATTCTGTACAACAGGCACATCAACCGTTCTATGTAGGAATTGACCTTAATGTATGGAAATCTCTAATTGAGAAATCTAAATCACATTTTAATCAAACTTATGTAAATAAATTGTTGCTAGCAGACGTGGACTTGGGAATGTTGGGGCACTGTGCAAGATGGTAATAACACTGAACTGCATAAAGAAAGCAATGTACTGCCATACTCAGATACTGCTACTTCCTCTGGAACCTTCTAAACATCTTTGATGTCACTACAGACACAATATGCAGAAAGCTGAAAACCAAATGATATTTAATTGACTGATATTATTTTAAACTGCGTTTGGATGGGCTTAATTTCTAACGACAATTATAAAATATTTATATGTTGTATTTGTTCCTATGCAATAATTGATATTCGTGTGTTTACCTGACTAACCTTGACCTCCCAGGTCATGAATATGTAATACACTTGTTTTTGTTAGTGAAGAACGTGACTCTTTGGAGTGTGCAGTGACCGCAAAGGGTTAATGTTATTCCTATCTCCTTCTCCTTTGTTGTGTCTGTTTTTAATAAACTTCACATATTTGCATTTATTGTGATTCTTTTTTTTTCTTTATTGACTTTGAATACTTTTAGTTACTGTTAAAGCGTTTTAGGTGATAGCTGTACTCCTATATGGCTGTGAAAGTTTTACACTGAACGCTGAGAGAAGTATGCCAAGTTTTTGAGAGCAAATGCTGCAGGAAAAAATGTTGGGTGTTTAAGGGTCATTTCTCATCACCAAGGAGTACATAGAAGCCTAATTCATTAAGCGCTGGTTGTGTGTGTGTGTGAAAATGTTGTTCGTGCTTACGTCTATAGTGTCATAGGTGGTACTAACGCTGAGATGGACACTTGTAGTCAAATGGAATCTCCATTTGTGTGAACAAATAAAATCTCATCTTAATATAGCCCTATGGACTTAGCCTGTTACTTAGTTTGCACTATTCAAGTTCAATTTAGCGTTCCCCCCCCCCCCCCCCCCTTCCCCAGTGTTGGGTCTATCCAGTAAATCTCCAATGCAGGACAAAGTTTTTCTTTGGTAACTAAATTAACTCACCCCCTCTCCGAAAAAAAAAAAAATACGGATCTCATTTATCTATTTTTCATTTAACGATCTTATTTTTCTATCTATCATTTTTTGGGGGGTAAAAATCAACAATGTTGTGAATTGGTGATGCTATTCTTTGATTCGGAATAGATGCTTTCAACAAAATCAGTTTTACATTTACAGAAACGTTCCTGCCACTGGCTAGGGGATTAGGAAGTACCTCTATACCAGAGAAAATGATTGTTTAAAATAAATACATGAAATGTACACTCTTCCTAAGTTACTTCCCCTGGAAAACCCACAAGCTTGATGCAGTGCTGGGAGTGTAATGTGATGGGAACCTGGGACTAGACACAGCTTGGAAGTCAAGTGTAGACCAGAAGTTGAGAATGGTAGCTCAAAGTCTATCAAGTTGTGATAAGTACATATACTATCCAGCTTGATAAAAGATGTTTCCAACATCAAGCTCGGATAAGTATTTGATACCTGTTATGGCTATTGGTCAAGTGTCAAATATGACACACTTATTATCAGGTCATTAATTAATGTGAGCAAAGCTCTAAGAGCAAATAACCATTACCTTGTACACAACCTGTCCAAGCCTTGTACACAACCTATCAAGCCTACCCAAGGAACACAAATCTTAACACTACTGGTTTCTATGTAAATCTACTAATGATACACAACAGTAACTCTTCAGTCTTCATATAAAGAGTAGTTTTATTAAGTTTATTCCAAAATACAATAACATAGAGCCTACACAACAAAGTCATAGCCTTAAAAAAAAAATGTAAAAATACAAGCCTTTAACTCAACAACATGTTGAGCCTTCTCCCTAACAGCAGCAGGAACCTCTGCCACTATGAAATTGTAGTTCAGCCTTTTTGGAAAAAAAAAAAAACACTAAATCTTTTAAGGTTCCAAACAGTGGATATTTATCTATCCTCTCCTAAACAAAAAAAAAAAAAAGACTTAATCAATAAAACAATAAGTTGCATGAACTGAGCTTTATTATTAGGCGAATATAATTTTTTTTTTTTTTTCAGTTTTAAAGCTCTAGTATTAGTTACACTCTACATAGCCTCGGCCATCTACAACGGAAACTACGTTTTTCTGACATGAGAATAAATAAAATGATGAGGATGATAAGCTGCGACTGGAAGATGGAACAGTCTAAAATGTATGTATGTCAGTGCAGCGTGAACTGAAGGCCACTGATAAAACATTTAAGATTTGCCAACAATGATGGGAAACGGTACAAAATCATTGCTAACGTATGCGAGACTAAAAGTAAGGCGTGCTGTTGATTTTTTAAAAATATTAAAAAAATAAAAGGCTCATAGAATATGCTAATCATTAATCTAAAACCAGCGGGGCTGTTTGTTTGTTTGGGGGATGCAAGAACAGGGAGGGACTTGTGGCCCCTGTGAAAGGGAGGGGGGGGGGGGGGCTTTGTGTGTGTAAAATAACATTTTACATTTCAAATAAAAACATATTGTCAAAAAGAAAACATAAGCTTAATTAGATGTATTTGACAGTCCAGTATTTTTATTTAGGATATGTACTTTTATTTTAAAAAGAAAAAGGTAATTATATATAATAATTGTTTGTACAGTCTGGTCCCTTATTCAGTTGTAAAGCAGCAAGCGACACTCGTGACTCAGAACCACGACCAAATTTTTAAAAAAGTTTTGTAACAAAAATATATGGCATAACCTTTCGACCTTTTTTTTATTTTTTATTATGGCCTTGATGATACCACAGTTTACATAAGGGGGAAAAAAAAACAACAACAGAATCGTAACAGATAAAGCTGTTGACACAAAAATTGTGCACATTACATTCAACCAATGTCATACACCACAAAAACAACTGTTGTCTATTTAAATGAAACCAGTCCAAAAAAAAAAATAAGACTGAAAATGAAATTCCTAGAATTTAAAAAAAAAAAATGTATGGTGCCTGATGGGAAGTTAGTAACAGCAACCTTAAAACATGGATCATGTACCTCAAGGAAACAAAACAAATGGACAGGAATGTTTGAAAGTGACTTCATAAATTGGTGTCAGAGTGTACATAGATTCCTACAAAAACATTTTTCTGGAATAAAATGCCATAAAAAAAAAAAAAAAAAACAGGTTTAGGTGTGCTTACATCAAAATTTGAAACAAAAACATATATAAAATTGTTTATTTTACAAATTTGTTCCCTTTATGTAAAATATGTTTGCTCCAAGTTTTGGTCACTAAAAAATATACATGCTAAGGAAATTGGGCTATATGTATATAAGATAAAAAAAAACAACAGCATTTGGCAAAAAAAAAAACCCAATAAAAACCCAGCAGACTTACACCCCAGATGAACATCAACTGTAAACGTTCTACAAATAATTTCAAAAACCTAAAAATAGTTGCGAGGACCATTTGAACTTTGTTCATTCCAAGGATTGGCTTATATTTATATATGTATAAATGTATGTATAAATAGTTAGTACTCAGACTAAATGTCATTTGCAAGATTCACATCGAGCCACTCTTTGTACTTGTGTTTCTACCATCCACTTCCATAGCTACACTCAACTCTATGACTACAGTGTTCTACTTGGCCTGCATGGAGTCTGTCACTGCCTGGCCGTTCTGACTGAGATCCCGGGCCATGAGGCAGGCAAAGATTGTCATCACCATCTTCTGCTTGACTTCGACAATATCCTCGGGGAGGGCGTACACTTTGGCTCCAGCCTTTCTGGCAATGCCGATAGCATACCTGGCATTAGCCAGTTTATCCTGCAAAAAAGAAAAAGGTTATATTTGTGTGGTCTTCTTTAAGCAAATATCATTAACACCCCCAAAATACATGGAGGTAGGGCTATGAATTTAAGCGCAAGCTAAATATCTGTGCTTTTAACTTTTGAACGTTTTGAAAGAGGTTGAGAGGGATGAGCATAAAAATGTGTAAAAAAGAAATGCACTGTTTAAGAATATATTTTATAAGTTGCTGTTTATGCTTACAAATACATGTTGAACTTTGCAAATAATTTTTTTTTATTACATTCATTTCACATGCACCAACTCATTGTGAGTATTCATATTGATACATTATCATTAGGATCAACTTTTAATCTTGTTTTACAAATGGTGTTTGCGTATGTAAAAAAAAAATTTCATAATTAGTTTAAAAAAAAAAAAAGAAGGGGTTTACTTTGAAAAGGCCAAAACTAGTTATTGCATCTTTTTCTTGTTTTCTTTACTTAAAAAAAGAAGATGATTACGTCCTACGCGTCATGCTCTTAGTCATGCATATTAACCAGGCAAGCTACAAGTGATGGTGAAATAAGATTTTAATATCGTTTCAAGTTTTTGAGATCTAACCAAATGGATGGACAGACAAATTCGAATAAACCAATCGCAGCTTTTCCATAAGGGGGAGCTTTCAAAAAAAATTATTTTTTTTATTTAACTAATTTTGCATGAATGAAAAAACTAAAATTTTAGTTTATAAAAAAACAAAAAACAAAAAAAAACAACACTTTGGGCATAAAAACAAAACAAAACTGTTAGACAGACCTCATAGGTGGGTGCATCTTGTAAAACAACTTTCCAGTCGACAACAGATGGCTTGATTTTTTCTATCAGTTTAATCAGAATGATACTGTCAGCTAAATTTGGATCACCAAAGCTGGTGAACTTGGCTGTCTTGTCCAACTGAGAAGAATATAAAACAGGGATTAGGCTCATTATGTACTGGACTAGTGACAATAAGTTGCTAAAAAGAACAAACTAGGTTCAACATGTAAATCTTAAAGTGCTTAACTCTTTCTCTCCGTAATTATTTTCCGATGGAATCATTCATTTTGCTCATTTGTGTTTCAGTAATTAAACTTTAATAACTTTTTTATATGTAATCAGGAGATGCTACGTTAGGTATATAAATTATAGAAGAATGCATGCTCTTTTTATAGAACCCAAATTTTACAGTTTATAAAACCAAAGATTAATTTAATTTAATAGGGTCAAATCAACGTTGCTTTCGTCAGTTAGGAGTGAAAGAATTAAGGTTGAATATAAGGTTGGGTAGAAAGGCTGATAAAAAAAAAAGATAATCATCAAAGAAGTAAGACACCAATTATAGCAATCAGTGTACTAACACGACCTATTTATTTGCATTTTGAGAATAGATCATAATTAGGGAAAGTGGATAGGTAAATCAGAGATAAATAATATAATAATATGTCTAAAAAAAATGGGGCCAGAAATGTGGATATTTAAAGGCACATTAAGGCTTGGACCTAATGACGTGGGTCTCTCTCATTGGCTCATTTAAAAAGATTTATTTAAAAAAAAAAAAAAAGGAATGATTGATTACTTTAAAAGAACATCTCATGAACGTCACCTTCAATAACACCATTAGATGCTTATCTGAGAAAGCTGATACATTTGTGATAAACTTGGGATGTATGGCCGAGAGGCTAGATATGCTTGGCCTGGCTACCTACCAAAATGGGTTTGAGATTCCACACCTGACGCAAGCAGAGTTATGTTTACTGAGCGAATAAAGCAACACAGAAGACCTTCTCCCAGGTACCCCCTGTCCCACAAATGAGATAGGACACCATAGTGTTCTGAACATGCTATAAGCATGAAAGTTGTGCTATAGAAAAAATAGTACAAAACAACAACAACAAAAAAAAACACTTAATTTTTGTAAATCCACCTGTCAAATTACTGGTTATTTTTTGTTTCCTTTATGTTCTATTTCACAAAATGATCATCCATCTTTCACTAATTATACAATCGTTGTATTAACAGTGTAACAATTTATAAAAGATAAAAAGCAAGGCTCATTTCACTCAATGTTAAAAAGTTTCAATTCCATAAACACACTTTGATTAAAAAATGCGGGTGAACTATTTTTTTTTTTCTTGTTTAAATCTGGCAGACTAGAAAGTAAGGTTTTACAGATGTGAAATGTAACTCACTCTGTTGTTTGCCCATTCCAAAATGAGTTTCTCAGCATTCTTGTTGTTAGTGCCTGCAGACAGTCCACTCAGTACGGAGATAGTGTAGGCTCTCATTAACTGCCACACAAGAGCTGGAATACAATGTCAACATGAATGCCAGCTAAATGGACCAACTTCTGACACCAATGTTAAAACATTATTCTACAGTGCAGAACTAGGATATTATAGAGTACTTACCTAATGTTAAAGTCTGGTTGCCGTCATGAATGTCCTTGCCCCCAACACCGACCAATGAGAAGTCCAGCTTGTGACCAAGTTCACAGGCATAATTACAGTTTTCTGGTGAAATAAATTTGAACAACTAACAATAAAGTCCCTTAAGTTACCAATTGATCATTTATGTTCTTAGATGGAGATATATTCTGTATTGTCTTGTGTTCCTAGGTTTACACTTTTCTTGACCCAGGTTCTTAGATTAGAATTGTTTCAACACAGAGGCTATGAAGCTATGCTACTTCTCTTTAATGACTTCTAAACATGCCCAGACTTTCTGATCATTTCCATGAGATGATTCATACAGAGTTACTCAACAGCTGTAAGTATTTTTTTAAACTTTCACTTTTGTAAGGTGTTATAGGTCAAGTTTTATTTTCCTCAAAATCTTGTACAATAACATTTCAGACTAGAGAAATATTGAATGGAATTATATTAATCATTCTATTCATTAGCTTATATATTTTGGCTGGTAATATTTCAAAAGCAGAGAAAGTCGTTGTCATTAGCTTACCAGCAAACCAATAGCTGCCCAACCCAAAGTTTATTTTGAAAGATAGTATTTATTTTTTGGATAACAATTAATAAAATCCTAAATTAGTTTGAAAGTTATAAAATAGTGTTAATAAGAATCAAAAGCAACTATCACAACCAAACGACACAAAAAAAGCAAGTTATGTATACAGAAATCATGAATGAACATTTACGTAAACAAACAATGTTGTTATATCTCAATAGTATAACAATGTTATGAACCAAGCAGACCACTATATGGTTATACTTCAATAGTATAACAATGTTATGAACCAAGCAGACCACTATATGGTTATACCTCAATAGTATAACAATGTTATGAACTAAACAGACCACTACATGGTTATACCTCAATAGTATAACAATGTTATGAACCATGTCTATAAACTTGAGATCCGAATACTAAATTGTTGCTCCAAGTAAAAAGTGTTTAGTACTAAAAAGAGATGTAAAATAACTTGAGAACCTTTTAGTTTGAATCACAATTGCAGAATTCTTTAACTTCCTCTCTTTTTAAATTTCCAAACAGTATTATGTAATTGTAATGCTACAATATGCAGAAACAATAATCCAATATAACAAGGCTTTTTTTCAACTCAGAGTTGAAAGAGAAGTACCGTATTTCATGTGGCTACCCTGTCCTAGCTGGGACCTACATGTATGTATACTATTAATACAATAATACGACGCAAGGTCCTTGATAATAGTTATTTATTTTCTGAATTACATTCTTCTTCAGCCTGGGATCTTAATAGAGGTTAAAGGGCTCTCAATGACCTTACTTTACAAGGCCTTAAGCCAATCAGAGTTTGACAAAATTTTTTACCGGATATCAAAAATATATTTTTTTTAATTCTCAGCAAACTGAATGAAGAAGAGCTGTGTGGCTGAGTAGAATTACCATTTGGCCACCTAATAAGGGGGCTAGTGATCAAATCCTGACTTGAGCTGAGTCTAAATGCAACATAGAAACCTCCTAGATACCCCATTCCACCATACAAGTCAACAAAAGATAACGGACCTTAGCACACTGAGAATGCTATTAGCATGAAAAATGGGCTACATAAAAGCACTTATGAAAAAAAAGGGGATGAAATGCTGGGCTGACCTATTTTTTCAAAGTTTGCTTTCAGCTTGTTGAACTTCTTGTGAACCTTGTTCCAGTCCACAACTCCAGGTTTGCAAATGTCATACAACTGGAAGATGATGAGACCATCAATCAGGTCGTTGTAGATGTAGTGGACATAGGGGGACACACCCATGCTGTTCATCCAGTTCCTGTATGCTGTAGACATAGTGACCAGACAGTCAAGGGAATTTCTAATAAGAATAAACTATTTTGTTAAGCTACACAAAAGAAAAATGTTTTGGTACCCA